ATATATATATATATATATATATATATATATATATATATATATATATATATATATATATATATATATATATATATATATATATATATATATATATATATATATATATATATATATATATATATATATATATATATATATATATAATATATATATATATATATATATATATATATATATATATATATATATATATATATATATATATATATATATATATATATATATATATGAGGAAAATATGAGGTTAGCTCTCGCTAACCTCATTTATAGCCCATTATAGTATTTATAGAAAAAAAAATTTTTTTTTTTTACAACAACTTCACTTCAAACAAGGCTGCAAGCTAGTCACTGAAAGAAAAAAGATGATGTATATATATACTTTATTGTATATATGCATATATATATACATATATATATATATATATATATATATATATATATATATATATATATATATATATATATATACATGTTGTTTTTTTTATAAGCATAACATTTATAAGCATATGGAGGCTCAGATTTGGAAAAAAAATAAGCATATGTAAGCATATTCCTGAGTCTCGATAAACCATTTAAAAAATTCAAATTTTATTAATTTTGTTATTTTATTTATTTTAAATGTTATTTATTTTATTATTTCATTGATAATATTTGTATATAGTATATATTTTTTTATTATACTGTACAAAAGTCGACTTTTTATTTTTCTTATAACCATTAACCTTTAGTAAGGCACGCATTTTTAGAAAGTATTGAATCTAAGCATATTTTATTATAAATATGCTTAAGTTTAAGCATATTTTTGAGTCGCTTTTAACTTTTTGCTTAAGCATACCCGAGCCTGTTTCAAAAATTTTATGTGCTTATAAAAAAAAAACATGTATATAATATATATATATATATATATACAATAAAATATATATGTATATTTATATATATATATATATATATATATATATATATATATATATATATATATATATATATATATATATACAAAAAAAATATTGATCTACAAAACAGGTTAATATCAGAACTGTGGTCCGATTTAAAAAATACTCAGGACTGATCTGCTAAGCAGGTAAATATCATGGCTGTAATCCGGTTCTTAAAATATTCAGTCCTCATCTGCGAAACTGATTTAATGTTAGGACTAACATATAACAAGTCATCTTGTGGACTGAGTATTTTTACAAGTTTTTAAAAAAACTCAGTCCTTAGCTGAAAAACAGTTTTGGTAATGATAATGATATATTTTTGATGTTATAATTTTGATAGATAATGAGTCTCAAAACTGTCATCCATTATCTGATGTCAAAACTCTCATCTAGTTTTAAAAATTTTTATTCATGATCTGCAAAACAGGTCAGGAATGGGGAAAGAATAAAATCCTGTTCAAAAACTTACTTCACTTCTACATATTATGATGTTGCAATAATATATATGTTAATATTAACATTACATGATACGTTATGATAACGTTATATATAAATTTACAATTGTATAATCGTTAAATTAATTTTTTTTTAATTTTAAAGCAAAACCGAGTGGTTTATACTTATATACAGCATCATTAACTTTGTTGATAATTAACTGTATAGATAATATATATTTTTTATATTATATTAATTACTTTGCAGGAGAATTAAGTGAAATTTATTTTTAACTTAAGGTTTTATTTTGAAACAAGAAAAGTCTTTAATGGAAAAAACAGTTATTGCAACGTTACCAAAATTGGAGAATGAATTTGTGTTATCATTTGATGTTCGTTTTAACTCTGTTCAAGATTTATATTATAATGTTATTAAGTTTTCTGGATCTACATCTTCTGGTATTTATCCAGCTTTTTGGTTTCATAAAAGCAAAAATAGTAAATCATTAAGTGCTTCAACCTTAGTAAACAATAAGCTAGTTAGTTTTGATCAGTATCCAGTCTCTTTTAATACTTGGAGTAAAGTTTTGTTATCACAAATATTAACCCAAGGTGCATACATGTATTCTATTAATATAAATGGTGTGGAAGTGTATTCAGGAAAACAAATGCCAGTAGACTTGAACTCTATAATGGTTCATGCATCTTCTCCTGATGATACTGCACAAGCAGGATTAATAAGAAACTTAAAGATAGGTCATGGGAAAAAAGGTTTTTTTTTCTTTATTTTTTCTTATTTTTGTATGTATGTATGTATGTATGTATGTATGTATGTATGTATGTATGCATGAATGAATGTATGAATGTATGGACTTATCTATATCATTTTATAGTTTTTGATTTTAGGCACATTACATCTTGAAACTCCAGATTGTGAAGGCTTTTTTGATGTTGGTTTTATTCTTGATTCATCTGGAAGTCTAAAATCACAGTACTGGAAAGAGAAAGATTTCTTAAAAAAGCTAGCTAACAGTTTTGGTATAAGTAACAAAGGTTCACATGCAGGTGTTGTAACATTTAGTCATTATGCTGAACTAAGTATTCGACTAGATGCATTTTATTCTAGTATCGATTTCAATGATGCTGTTGATAGAATAAGTCATATGGATTCATTTACTCGAATTGATTTAGCATTAGCTAAAGCGTTAGAACTATTTGATATAAAAAATGGTGCAAGAAATGATGTGCCTAATCTTTTGTTTTTGCTAACAGATGGTAAACAAGAACCTGAAATGCCATTAACACATATATCTGATGAAATAAAACAGAAAGGTATTCAACTATTTGCTGTAGGAATAGGAGCTGGTGCTAACAAAACTGAGCTTGAAAAGATTGTGGGTAACCCTGAAAATGTGTTTATGGTAGATGATTTTGATAAATTACTTAATGGAGATTTTTTAAAGAAGGTTAAACAAGGAAGTTGTTCTTCAGGTTTTTGTTTCTAATTTTTTTTATACTACAGTTGTTTTTTATTAGCATTAATCTATTTTTTTGAAATAGAATTTACTTTTTAATGTAATTTTTTTTATATAGGGTGAGTATGGTGGGGTTGAGTGGTCATGGAGCAGTAGGGTGGTCATGGTGGGGTCGGATAGTCATGGTGGGGTAGGGTGGTCATGGTAGGGTAGGGTGGGTACGTTGGTAATGATTCTACTCAAAGTATTTTTTTTTTCAAAATTTTATTAATGATTTATATTTAATGCTCCAGGATGAAATCAGGCTTTATACTCAAATCTGTAATAAAAAATCTGTTCAAGTTGTTCATTTATTTAGAACAAATAACTTCTAAGCTCTCCAGTAATTTAGTTATAAAAGTAGATTTTAAGTTGAGTTTTATAAAAATTATTTAGAGGTGAAAAGAGATATAAAGGGAGGCAATAAAAACTTTTAAAATCTTTGCTGATAAGGGAGGGTTTATTATCTACAAAAGGTATGTTTTATACTCCATTTTGTAATTGTTTTTGTTTCTACCTGAAATCTATCATAATATTTCATTTAGCAATTTTAAGAAGTTAGAACATCAATAGATCAAGTTTTGTTTTTTCAACTTAATTTAACTCCCTAAGGCCAAGAGCTTCAATTGAGGAAGCTACTATTTATAGTTACAATTTTTTTTACTCTGAAACACAAACTCTGACAAAAAAGGTTGCACAGAGAAATAAGTTGAGTGCATTACTACTAGCGATGTGATGAAGATTGAACTAATACTACCACATTTAAGTTTCTGATTTTTTAGTTTAAAGAATTAAAGGAAATTGAAAATGTTTAAACTTTTTATTTTTTTTTATATTTTATTTTAATTTTAATTTTCTTATTGAAAAACTTTAAATCAAATTCGATTTTAAAAAACTTTTTTTTAAAAAATTCAATTTTGAAGGAACATAAATTGGTTTTGCAATTTTTTTACTTAAAAAAATATTTTTGTTGGGGATCGGATTAAAAGTAACTGAATGGTTGCTTTTTTATTAATCAATTTATATTTTTTCTCAGTTTTACAACTCAAGTAGTATAAATTAGTTAAGTAAAAAAAAATATATTCAAAAATGAACCTGAAGTAAACATCTTGTATGACATTGTTGTTTATATCTAACATATAAACTAAACATTTTCACAAAAAATAATTAGAAGTGTACAATGATAATAGCTTAAATTCATTTGGCGAAATTTTTAAATAGTTTTAGCTATAGTTTATAGAAATATGTGTAGAGAAGTAATAACTGGAGTTGCATTAGAATCGTGCTAAAATGCGGTATTGATGTAGTGGTTAAGCTTGCCTTTATAAAAAAAGAGCTATTGTCTTTGTTTGAAGCATTGTGAAAGAAAAGGGTTTAAAATATTAAAACAATTTTTCCATTTCTCATTTATTGAATTAATGTATACAAAAATTATTATATTTTTTTAAATATTAAAACATATGTTATAAAATAATGTTAAAATTAAAAATTAATGTTCTTTTTCATAAGTGGTTTGAAATTTTTTTTTCTAGCTCTCCAAGTTGACATTTATTCGGCTTTAAAAACTTTCAAAGTAGGAAGTATATTTATATAATATATTTATTTACATCTGTAAAGCAAATAGGTGTGGATGAAATCAGTTTTTATATACACAGTTGGGTTGTATATACTTCTATTCTTTTACACAAACATACACACACACACACACACACACACACACACACACACACACACGCACACACACACACACACACACTTCTCCATTTTCCCCCTTCATCCTTGAAGATCTTTAATATTTTTTTTATTTTTATAAATATATTTTATTGGTTTCACTTATAGAGACATAAGCACTCAAAATAATTATTTAAAGATTGTGATCAAAAATACTGTATATAAAGAACTTATTTTTCAATAATATTAAGTTGTTGCAAACATCTTTTAATAGCCTATCAATTGCATTTAAGATATATTTAGGTATTATAGATGTTTCATCAATGTGCTGTTATCTGACATTGAGACAGTAAGTTTGAATAAGCCAAACAATGGCAAGTTTAAAACCTCTAGTTATGGTTTCAGCAGTCAAATATTTATATGTAAAAATTTTTCTATTATCAGCTGGTTTCATGAAAATCAATTGAGTTCAGGATTTAAAGTTTTTATTGACACTAAAAATAATGAAATAATATCTTATAAAATATCAACAATGAAAATATAATATTTGAATATAAAAATATAAAATAATTGAAAAGTGTAAATCAAAAAAATTTAGTTATTTTAAGCAAGAAAAAAAAATCATACTATTTAAAATTATACTATCATAAATTTTTCAAATGTAGTTTGTAAATCAACAAAAACAATGCTAACTGTTTTATAATTGAGTTATATTAATGATATGTGCAATATTATTTAACAAAATTCAACTAAAATACAACTTTTTTTGAAACAATGCAGCCACTAAATATCAAAATGAAGATAGAAAAAGATGAAATTGCAAAGAAGAAAGGTGAAATAGAAGCAACTTTTAGATAGACACAAACCTTCGTCATTGTTGATGCTTCCATCTTTAAAAATAAAAAAAGTCAACAACTAAAAAAAGCTAAATACAAAACAAAAAATCTTTTAAAAGATCCTAGTATCAGATCAATCAGAAAACTAATGAAACAAAAAATTTATCAAACATAAATCAACACTTACTTGGTTTTTGTAAAATTTTTAATGCTTTTAAAAAGTTAAGGTAGAAAATATACATAAACAACATAGCTAATATATATATATATATATATATATATATATATATATATATATATATATATATATATATATATATATATATATATATATATATATATATATATATATATATATATATATATATATATATATATATATATATATATATATATATATATGTAAATATATATATACATACATACATACATACATATACATATATTTATGTGACCATGGCGCAGTGGTTAGAATGCTTGCTTTATAAGTAGGAGATCCAGGCTCGAAACGAGCTCTGGACATACTTCCCCGTCACGGTAAGGAAGGAGGTGTAAACTTCCTGGTTAAATGCACTTCCGCAGTGCTCTTTGACAAGACCGTTAGGTCTTCTTAGGGCACCTAAATAGCAAAAACAAATATATATATATATATATATATATATATATATATATATATATATATATATTTATATGAACTTCAGAAATCTTCCCATTGGTGTAAAGGTCAGTACAGTATTGTGACAGAGCCTATTACAACACATCTGCAAGACCTGCCACCTAAAAGAAAATAACTTGAAACAAATTATAGTCAATTGTTCGATGATACAGACAATCGAAAGTTCAGAATAGAATAGTATCAATGATGATTAAAAAATCCCATTAAGACATGCAAAAATCACCAGTAAAATGGTAGCTAAAATCTCTGAAAATGAAGGGTATCCAATAAGTTGTAAGGCAAAGATTGCAGAAACTGTACTTAATGCAGTTGATGAGACATCGACCAAAAAACATCTACATTGTGCATGAAATCTACATTGTGACATCGACCAAAAAACATCTACATTGTGCATGAAGCTTGATTCGGTCTTATATTGACTCTTCTGAAGAAGAGTCAATATAAGTCATGGTGCTTACATTTTAATGATAAGAGCACAAACAACCTTATTATAGCACTTGCATTTTGAACAAGTCTAAATCTTTAATTATATATTTGAAAAAATTAGAGAAAGGCAACTCTGTTTCTATTTATAACATGTTACACAATGTTATTTTGGAATTTAATTTATTGAATAAAATTTCCATTGTAATATGTGACACCATTAAGACTAACAAAACCAGTTATGAAATATGGCAGGAATGGTTATAAAGAGCTGGATTTGTTATGTAAAGGATACAAGTCTTATTGAGACAAACTGAATTTATCAGTGATTCATTTTTTTAAACCAGGGCCTATTTCAAATGCTCAATGGAATTCAAGAGCTATCTATGAGGCTTATAATTTTATTGTAAATCACTGGGGCCAACCTATAGTTCTCTTGCAGAAAAAATGTTGGCAATATAACAAAGTTAAAATTGGCATTAACTGTTAATTGCTTTAAGTGTTTGGAAAGACACTGTGATATTTGGAATATGATTATATGATTGTCTATTAGACATTACACATAGATTACACAAATGAAGTGTGCAAAAGGTTGCTTGTGAAAGTTAATTTATTTATTCTAAGAAATGTCATCAGCATAGAGACCAAATTTGAGACAATGTAATAAACTTTGATCTGCTTATGTGTACTATTGTAATAAAATAATTTAGTGTTTGAACTATATTTATATTCTATACTTCCATGACGCAATTTTCAAAGATTTTTAACTAAAAATTTAGAATTCAACAAATAAAATCTTTACCTCAAGTTATATAGATTTTTATGCATAGTTTGTAAGCATAAAGGCTAGCCATGCTAGACATTTTTCAGGGTTGGAAAATATAGGGGCCTTTTTTTAAATTTAGGAGTTTTTTTTCTAAATATATAGATTTTTTTAGTATTACACCAAGTAGTGGAAGATATTTAAGATTTTTATGTCCTAATGACAGGTTGGGGGGGTCTGACCCACAGCACTGTTCGTAAGGTATTTTCAGTCCTGTGTAAATTTGTTACTTTGTATTTTTTTAAATAATACTTTAGTTTATAAAGGTCATTCTGTTCAAAAACAAGACTTAACAATCTGTCGCAACAATTGATTTTTGAAAAATTTTATCACTTCAAAAAAACGAGTTTGACCAGGGTTTTTGAATTTGTTATGGTTAAAATTATTTTTCAAATACTATTTATAATATTTCTCCACCGGTAGTAATAGGGCAAATATTATATATATATATATATATATATATATATATATATATATATATATATATATATATATATATATATATATATATATATATATATATATATATATATATATATATATATATATAAAAACCAGATCATTACTGAAGCTGGATGCTTGACTGTTTCCACAATGCAGTCAGAATAAAACTTTTCATTTGTTCTACGATGAACAAAAGCTGTTTTGTCCATCATTACTTGAAAGGTTGACTATATATATATATATATATATATATATAAAAATATAAAAATAAATATATATATATATATATATATATATAATAATAATAATTAATATATATATATATATATATATATATATATATATATATATATATATGTATATATATATATATATATATATATATATATATATATATATATATATATATATATATATATATATATATATATATATATATATATATATATATGTATAATAATATATATAATAATAATAATAATAATTCAACCTTCATTAAAAGAACAATAATACATTACATATTTTTTGAAATTAATTTAGCAAAATGTTGTGTAAAAGTTGTCCATTAATATCAGAAATTCTTTGTAAAAATTCTCCAAGATATTATCACAAGGCTTTATAATTCCTCAAAATTTGTTTGAGGAATTATAAAGCCTTGCAATTATAAAACCAACAGAAAAAAAAATAATTTTTTTTTTTTTTACTTTAACTCTAAAGATCCCTAGCATAGTTAACATAAATTAACATAATTGAAAAACCAAAAGTTTTCTCATGTTCAGAAATGCCAAGTGATGGACACCACACTACTTGCTAATTATTTCCCACAATTTGGTTTCATTAGAATAATGACATACTTGTCAAGTTTTTAATATCTTTTTCCTTGATAATATCTGTAGTTAATAAGTAATAATTTTAATTATTACTTATTAACTTTTATTAATTATTATTTTACTTATATAACTACATTTAACTACAGAGGAGCAAGAGGAGAAATCTGATGTTTTTAGTTTCTCTGCTGAAATATCTAACCCAAAAAAGTAAAGACATTAGCACGCATGATCATCACACAAAAAGTTTCAAAAAAAAAATCTCAGTCAGCTTTAAGGTAGTGATAGGTCATATCCAATGTAAAAGAATTACAAAATGAAATTTTTAGTGAGAATATATCATGGTTTGAACCACCTAAAGGAGTAACAAGGATAAACTGATAACAAGCTAGGGACAAGACACAAGTCAAAGGGTGAAAGTATGTGAATAAGATGGTCTGGAAATCAAGTTACAAAGTTAAATCTCTGAGTAAGAAATTGATGAATACAAAAACTTTAAACTTTAGTGCCAACAGGGTCAGTCATACTAGAGCCTATTTAATGTAATGAGAATTAAATAACAACTATACTGGCTGATGGATTAAAGGTTTTGAAAATTTAATGGATGAAAGGTTTTGCCAATTTAATCATAAATAGCTTTTAAAAGAGTGCAGTCTTAGGAAAAAGAAGAACATTACACTTTTTATGTTGTTTTAATAATATCAGATAAACTGAACAAAAAAATTAAAAGCAAGTCAGAAAAAAATAATAGACTAAGAATAAACTAACTAAAGAGTGGTGTTGAATGAAAGCACATAAAATTCATAACTTTTACATTTGTAACAAAGGGATTTTTATGCAGCTTTGACAATGCAAACCAAAATCACTTATGAGGACACCATCCTTATGCAACATGGTATTGTTAGTACTCTGATATTTTGCAGTTGTTGATGGAATCTCTGAAAGCTACCACAGTGTTTGGGAATTTTTACTACCAGTCTCAATCTCAGAACCATTAGGAGATAACAGAAAGAGTTGTATAGCCGTACCAAGCGAGGTACAAGCAAAAAGTCTTTGAGTTCAAAAAATTGATAAGCATGTTTAAGTTATTGAACTTGTCAAGTCAAATCAAAAATCCATAATCATGTTTAAAATATTAAATTGGTCAAGTTTTAATTATCTTAAAAAAATTTTATATAAAAAGAAAGTTCTGATTAATCTTGTTTGATTGTTTCGATTTATTAATTTTTATTTTATGATCTCAGAAGGTTATGATCTATTATATATAGTTATTTGGATAATCTTTTATTTTTTTAATTCTTAAAGAAATAGTTATACAATGTATTACTTACAAGTCACAAACATTCATTTTAATTTTAATTTTTGTTTACATTTGAACAACTCAAGCAAGAAATTTAATCAACAAATGTTATGTTTCTTATATTATATCAGAGAGATACTTGAAGTAGACATTATTCTCTATCACTCAAAACAAGGTTATTGATTTATTTATTACAATTCAATCAGTTACAGTAATTTTATATGTTTAAAATATCATGGATTTCTATAATCTATATTTTTTAATGAAATTCATGTTTTTAATATTACTTAAAATGTAGAATTCTTTTATTCTTCTATTTTTCTACAATTATTTGTTTATATGCTTAAATTAAATACCATAATATTGATTTATATACAATATAAATAAATATATAGTAAATTGTTTTTTTACTTAGTTTTTTTATATATATATATCTTATTTTTATAACATTATTTTTCTCTTAAAATAATATTTTTCCTTTATTTAACCAGATTGACTTGATTAACCAGATTACATTTATTGGTGTTAATTATTGCTTGATTTCAATAAATAAATTTTTCGAGTCAAATTGACTTTGAGTTTATATGCTGGATAGTATGCTCTTGATTTCTAAAAGCATTAGGATTGTTAAAATTTGACAACAAATATTGTGTCTGTCTATGAATCTTGTATACATCAAAGCTGTCTTTTGGTACAGGGCAAACTTTATGAGTTCTCAAAATATTTTTTTGTGTTAGTTAATTAAAAACTAATTATGTAAAAACAAAAAAATTGTTTCACCAAGTAACTACAAAAGTATTTGTGAATTATTTTATTAAATGGTTTACTAATGCACAAGTTTTAAAATGATCATAAGTTTGATTAATTATTAAAAGCTCTAGTATTAGTGTTAATAGTGTTAAACATTAAGTTGATTATTCTAAACTATTATTCTGAATAAATTGTTAATTTTAAAATATTCTAAAACTTAAACTTAATTGATTATTAGTGCTGAAGCATAATATTTTGGTGACATAAAAGATGTGTATAAAGAGTGAAGCGTTGAAATTTTTTATTTTATTTTCTGGAAACTGTATATATATATACTTTTTATAAAAAGTTAAGATAAATAAAGGTTCAAATAAACCTTAGCCAACTCTCCTTTTTTGCCATAAAAATTTTTATTATAAGATTAGGTGGGTTTTCCAGAAAATAATTTTTTAATTATTAAAAAAAATACAATTCATCAACATTGAATCGGCCTCAACTCCCAACACATCTTTGGCGTTTTTTATAAAGTTCTGGCTCCAATTGAATAAACCCCAATTTGGTTAATAATGGCAAAGTAGACCTCCTTCAAATATAGATACTATTTGCTTAAACAGTGCCCCTAAGTCAATGTATGCACTAATGATCCTGCCTATCTCTATTTTAGTATGGCATTACATTAGTGAAAAAAAAACAATAAAAGTTTATTGTGCAGCAGAAAATTTATTTTATTAATATTTTTGATATTATAAATCTATTATGAATACATAAATAATTTACTTTCTTTGGGTAAAGGAAATTTTCCTATAAGAACATAAAGTTTTGGGAAAGTTTATTGGGGGTTCAAAGAAAACTGAAACTAATTATTTATATTATGGTTTGTTATACATATTGTTTTATAATTATCATTAATTATCATGAATTCATAGTTATTTTTTAAATGATTAACAGTTGTTTTATGTTTGTTTTTTTAGTTTTGGAAAATCTTAAGAAAGAGACTGAGTTAAAAAAAGACAACTTACTTGTTACATTATGGTTAAAAAAGGAGTTTATTGTTTCTTTTGAGATAAAACCTACACTTTATTTACCTGGTTATCACAGTGTCTTAAGATTAGAGATTGGAAATGGTAGATATATATCTGTTTGGTTTTCTGAACTTGGGGTTGGAATTCTAGTTATATCTTCAGTTTTTGGTACAATAAAAAGTGATGTAGAATCCAAAAAACGTATCCCTACAAATGAATGGACCTCAATAAAAATATCTCAGCAAATTATTAATTTCAAATACATGTATGCAATTGAAATTGCTGAAGATATTATTTTTTTTGAAGAAAACAGTTTACAAGAAGAGTTTACAAGTGTAGGTGTATATGCATCAGAAAGTGACCATCTTTCACAAAGTGGATTTATTCGAAATCTGAAAATAAAAAATGGAAATGAAGGTTCTTATTTCTTTTTTCTTTTTTTTTAGTACAAAATCATATTCTTTATAAATTATACAATATGTATTACTGTTGTTGCTGTGGTTGTTGTTGTTGTTGTTGTTATTGTTGTTGTTGTTGTTGTTGTTGTTGTTGTTGTTATTAATACTATTAGTATGTTAATTGTATTACCATTATTATTAATATTATTATTAGTGTCATAGTATCATGTTTTTGAATTTTATTAATCATTTATTGAATTAAATTAGTTAAATTTGAATTGAACTTGTGGTATTTAGTTATGGTAAACTTTAAAAATTTATGTTATATCAAACAGTGTTTTATAAAACTGTGTACAGTTTGACATTTTTATGTTTGTAGTTTTTTTGAAGATACAAACAAATATAAAATAGTTCTCTAGTCAACTTGAAAATTTAAGTCATCAAATTTTGGACTACTTTGAACAAGTAACAATAATGATTTACTATATATTTATTTATATTTTACTTTAGGCAAGAATCCAACTTTATTTAGAATGTTTATAGTTTTTGTTTTGTGCTTTTAGCTTTTATAATTATTATTATTTTATTTTTTATTTGTTTTTATCATTTAACTTTATTATATTTTACTTTATAATATTTTTTTAATATTTTTTTAATATTTTTTTTATTTTTTTATTTTTCATGTGCATTTATATTTATATACATAAATATAAATCGGCTTCTTTTTTAACCTTTAAAAATCTGGATAAATTATGAGCATTTTATGAGGGAAAAAAATCTATTTAAGATAACAATTTCCTAATATTTTTTGTCCCCTTTGTGCTTTAATTCTTAAAATGGGCATTTCAATTTTTCAGCAAAGGAAAAAAAGAATTATAAAAAAGATTTTTTTTTTACTCCCTTACTCCCTTAGCTTCCTTTCACCATGAAATCAGCATTGAGCATTTAATATTGTATTTATATACATGTGATCAATTCGGTGTTTTAATCATCACTGAATTGTGATGGTTAATGAAAATTGAAAATGTGAATATTAATTCCGCACAATGGAATTCTAGCATCATTTTGTATAAAAGCTTTAACAATTAACTAATGAGTTGTAGATATATATAGCAAATAATGAGTTGTAGATACCAGAGCAAACAATAAACAATAAACAATAAACAATAAACAGTTCTGCACTATATAAGCTGTATAATAGTTTTTTATTCAAAATAATTTCACAAAATATTTTTGAGAGCTCTAAAAATTGATGTGGCTTAAGGACTTAGAGGGTGTAAATATGGCCCTGGCTATACCACCATTCAGTGAAAAATTTAGGTTTTTAAAGCCCTATTTCCTAACAAAAAATTCAAATAAGTGAAATAAATACAAGTATTGTTCCTAAATTTTGCTTTTGAAAGCTTTCATTCAGATAAGTTATGTGTAATTCTTTTTTTTTTTAATCTTAACTTTAATATTAATTTTGTTTTTTGTGGTTTCATATAAATTAAATAATACAATTCTCCCTACTCAATTTTTTTTACAAAAATTTGAAGACCGTTTAAAACAGTTTATTTTTTTGGATTTTGGAATTCGAAAACCACTTTTCAAAAAGTCATTTTTTGTGTAAACTCTAGAAGTTTTATTGGTTAATAAAGGAATGAATGAATAAAGGAATGAATGAATAAATTCTATTTGAGGTGCAATTATGTATATATATATATATATATATATATATATATATATATATATATATATATATATATATATATATATATATATATATATATATATAGAGAGAGAGAATATATATAGAATAATAAAATGAAATAAATAAAAGGAATAAAATTTATTTGAAGTGCAATTATATATATACATTTTATATATATATTTTTTATTTAGTTAGTATTATGTGAACTGTCAATGTTTATTGTTTAAATATTGCTAAATAAATATTTAGTACAGCATTTTTTGTGTACTACATACTACTACTATGCACTAGACAATCAAAAATCAATTATCTATCATCAACAGTCATCTTCATCAGGATATAGACTTTGATGCAACTATTTTTTGTTTTCGTCTTTTGTAATACTTGAGTTAAAGATGTTATAATTGCCTCATTTTACGCAGTTGCTGATAACCTTCTGGTTATGTTCTGCGCAACTGTTGATGACTTTCATTTGACAAATTTGTGCTTTATTTCAAGATACATTAAATTCATTTTCTACTCTGAAAATTCTCTCATTAAAAATGATTTAGCTTTTTTTTGCCATTCTATAAAATTAAAAAGGTTCTGCAGTGCATTGTGTGATGAAAGCAGGCAATGGACTATGGCAGTTGAATGTGGCAGCATCAGGTTCTTTGATAAATTTTTGCCTTGGCTGCTATTTTAGGTTGTGTTCCAGTTCTTTCTTGGCGTTGTTTTCAACATGGAAATCAAAGAAAGTAAATTCTACTAAATATTCAGAAAAATTATTGGATTAGTTGCAATTGTACAGTTTGGATTATAACTGGATTAGTTTCAATTGTACAATTTGGACACTCTGTTGTAGTTGCTGGATTATATTTATAGCATGCAGGCACCATGTGTTCAAACACATGGCACCTGCATGCTATAAGTATAAGACAATGTTAAGATTTACATTAGATTCTACATTATTGTGCAATGTTTCAATGTTTGTTGGAGTGTCAAAAGTAGTATTAAAGTAGTGTCAAAACCAGTCCCCGAACTCAATTTTCAATCTTCAAGAGCTTTCATACAAGTAACAGTCTGTTGCTCACTAGTACCTCCACCAATCTTTGGAATGCCTAGCAATTTTCAATCCCACCACCAGTCACAAGGATGGCAATTTTATCTACTTTTTGTTGACCACCACACTGGATTTGCGTAGTCTAGATACCGTCTTACACGAGAGGTGTACAATAATTTAGATGTGTTTATATCTAAGTTTTTAAATGAATGTTTTTATTATTCCTAACATTTTATTAGCTTTACCAGACACATAATTAACTTGTCTAGACCATTTTAAGTTGTTTGAAATCATAATTCCTAAATCTTTTTCAATTTTGGCTTCTGATAGTTCAACTCTATTTAACATTGAATCATACATTGTGTATATATGCTTAGTATTTTTGCTACCTATATGCATGCATTTACATTTGCTGACATTAAATTTTAATAGCCATAATTGTGACCATGTCATTAATTTGTTTAGATCTGTTTGAGTCTTTTCTATATCAGAAGATGATCTAATTATGTTAATTAGTTTAATATCATCAGCATACATTTTACAGTTTATGATAACTCATTTGGTAAGTTGTTTATATAAACAATAAGCATAAATGGACCCAAGACAGACAACACGTTACACTCTGTTGCATACAAAATTTTTGCACGATCTAACTGCTTTATAGTTAAATCCATAACTTTTTAGTCTATATATATATATATATATATATATATATATATATATATATATATATATATATATATATATATATATATATATATATATATATATATATATGCAACCTTCTTAATTTTATACCCTGATTTAAATATGAAATTTCCTGTCTACAAATTTATATAATCCATAAATGTGAAATTTCCTACCTACAAATTTATATAATTAGTTATATACTCAATATTGCAGATTGGTACAGGCGAGAATAAAAAACCATAAAGTTTACTATCCCTCAAAATCAAAGAAAAGTGATGGCTCAAGCCACTGCTATTTCAGCATTGTTGATCTCACAAGATGTGAGAATGCCCCTCAAACCATTTATCTAAACATTCCTTTGTGTTAATACAGTATTGCTTGAGCTGCTTGTTCCCACTTTCCCTAAGTGGGATCATTCATCTTTATGTAAATGCCATTTGACAGCAAGTAAGATATTGGAGATTAATAGACAATTTATAGTTTCACAAGTGCAGTTGAGGAGATAAGGCCATGCTTTTCTAACCAGAAAAGTGTCAATAATCTAATCAGAGAACTAAGTTTTACTAAGATAAATGATGAGCTTCTGATATCCTGGCTCAAACAATGGAATTTGTCAAACAAAAATTTGCAAGTTAAAGATCAGAGAAAGCATCACCAAATATTTGCAAATTCTTTAGTCAGAAAAAAGCTTCAAATGCTTTCAGATACATTTGCTTCACAACTTCATAATTTAACTGTGTGATACTTAAATAAATGGCACTTATTTATAGACAGTTCATACTAGAGCCTCAAAGCCGAGTTCATCGGAAATAACCACAATAAAATAATAATACTTCAGTAGAAATAGCCACCCAACCTTTCTGATGGCTCACTCTGTGCATCTCAGAGGAAGAAAACCAGTATCAAGATGTTGTTTAGTGCCTTAAGACAACTACAGGTGAGAGGTCATTAAAGACTTCAAAATGGTATTCTTCCTCATTGGCCTTTGAAATAGTTCTACAAAATTTCTGGTTTCTTTTGCCTCTAGTACAGTTGTGATATTAAGTGGTACTATTACAGAAAGGACAGATCACAGTGGATTGTAAGCAAAAGCAATGTGAAATAAGATCCATTGATATTACTTTAAAGAGTGTTACCACTGCAAATCAAGTTAGATCTTGTCAAGAAATTTGTCACTGCTCTCTGAACAAAATGAACAAAAATATTTTTCTTTGTAATAAAGTGGTCATAAAATTTATTTTTCTGCAATCTTGAGATGCAAGCAGTCATATAAAAATTTGAATCCAAGGATAAAAATTGTGTTATATAGTTTATTTATATATAAATTTGTATAATTTAAATATGTAATTAATTTTTTTAGTATCCATATAAACTATAAAAACAAATAAAAACTATTTAACATTCACAAACTAATATGGGTTAAAAAAAACAGTGAATTATGAAGTTGAATAAAGTATGTTAAAGAACTTGTTTGTTCCTATGTGACATAATTAAAATCAATGTCTTGTGTGAAATAATAAAAAGCTAATATTCACAAACTATTGTAACCCATTTAATTGAATATTATTTTAGGCACAAAAAAATTATATACAAAATTTATTAGTTACAATCTTCTTATATATGATGTTAAGTGTAATGAAACGTGTTTGTTATTGAAATACGCTGTTAAAAAGTTGTTATTTGTTATTTAAATAATAAAGTATTATTTTTGTTTTTAAAGTAAATTAAGTTACAATTTATATAACATAGAAAGTAAAATTAATAAATTATTTATAAAATATATAAAGTAAAACTAAGTTATAATTCAGTTTAAATTTTTAACTTGAAAATAGTTGCCAAAAAAAAAATTAATTTTTTAAATTTAAATTTGTAAGGTTACATGCTTCGAAAAGAAACTCAAATTGAACGTGGAAAATTACTTGGTGCTATTGCAGAGTTAGAAATGGAGTATGAAATTTCTTTTGAAGTTAAACCTGAAAATAAAGAAAGTTTGCTGAATGTTTTCCAAATAACATATTCTGGGAGTAGCGGTGGGGCTATGAGTTCTGGGAGTAGCGGTGGGGCTAACAATGAGTTATTATCAATGTGGATTGATGAAGAGCACTTTGGAAAACTTACATCAGAAAACAAAAATTTTGTCATGAATTTTCCGGATCAAATGCCAACTGATAAATGGATGACAATTCGAATAGCTCAGCAGTTTTTTAATAATAAATATTTGTGTGAAGTTGATTTAAATGGAAAAGAAATTCTCTCTACAGAAACTTTGAATGCTGATTATTTTACTGGTTTAACATTTTATGCAGCTAGTCCTAACTACAACTCAGCATCAGGGTTTATACGTAACATACTATTAATTAATGGTCATATTGGTGAGTTTTTGAATTCATGCTTTTAGGCACAAAAAAATAATTTATAAATTCTTGAATTTTTTTTTAGAAGCTTTTTTGTAATATTTAATTTATCAGAAAAACTCAAAGAATTTGTATCTGCAAAAAAATCAGTTAAAATCAGGGAAATTGGGGTAGAATTTTTGATCAGGAAGAAATCATGTGAAAAGCGTCTTGAGCAAACTGATATATGTCAGTCATATATTATGTAAATGGCTTGGTGTCAGTTAATGTTTAAATGTGGGTTGCATTAATGTTTATTTGATTGAAACTATGAGTTTTTCCTTTTACTATTCAAAGTTCTATTTTCAACTCTTCTGTCATATGTTGTGTCAGGTTCAGTTATTGAAGTAGGGGTTAGATGGATGCCTAAATAATTATTTATTACCTTGTACTCTACAAGGCAATAAATAATTGTGTGCTTTATAAATAATAAAAGTGCTGCCTTGTAGAGTGTGCTTTTTTAGCCAAAGATTAGAAGAAACAATTTCCAACTTAAAAATCCCTTGCCTTAGGGCTCTTGGTTGAGTAAAGGAGGTGTTTCGGAAAAAATAATCTTAGCATCCCTTAGAATTAGGGCCAGCATTTGGCAATGCTGACCTAACTGCCGACAAAATGTTTAAGGTTGGCAAAAATTCACCAACCTCGCTTGTATGTTTTATGGTAACCCCTTTGTTTCAAATTTTTTTGCTTATCTGATGCTGACCTCTAACAGTTTAAGGTCAGCAGTTTATTGCCAACCTCACTTTTTCTAGTTCTGAGTATTGCCTCTTGATTTTATTGAGGATTAGGGAGATGTTGCATCCAGCTACTGCCTTGTAGGAGGCCTCCTAGGCAAAGACTTAAAGGGTAAACAGAATATTTCTGATAACCAGCCTCAAATCCCTTCTTCATCTATTAGGCTGGCATAGATCTATTACATACATCTATTAGGCTGGCATAAACCTGTGTTACATTGTTTCCTGCCAAAGATGATGAATGGTGGATCTTCTAGAATCTTTCCATAGGTTTTTGCTTGTGCCTTCTTGATTCCTGTTATCTCCTAATTAGGGTACAGCTCTAAAACTCAGTTTAATAGTTTTGAGACCAGCTGGTTGTAAGGTTTCCCGAACTCTCAGAGAGGCTGATTCCATCAACAAATGCTAAATATCAGAGTATTAGCAGTGCCTTGTTGTGCATGGGTAATGTCCCTGTTAAAGCTTTTGGCACGCATTTTCAAGGTCACTTAAGGAGTCCTATGTTACAACTTAGGGTTAGTTAACAAGACTGAGAAAATTGCATAGGTCATTACTTAGGAGGCCATGCTCTATCTATGAATCAGTCAAGTTCTCTTTAAACTTAAATCATGCCAAAAGTAACACAAATATTAAATATGAAAAACCATCAAAAGTGAGGTCTAACTAATGAGACAAATACAGGGTGTCTGACAGATCAGGGAAATCAGGGAAAACAGGGAAAAGTCAGAGAATTCAAATATCTACGAAAAAATCAGGGGATTATCAGGAAAATTAGGTTAAATTTTAGAAAAATCATGGAGAAATCAGGGAAAATTGCTCTCTATCAAACTTACTTAACTTGAATAAGTTGTATACGGTACACATAATATAAAAGTTTATTTGGCAGATAGTTTTATGAACATGCCATGATACATTTAATGTGGATTGTATTATCGTTTATATTTTTGCGGTTGAAGAGCATTTTAGTTGAAGAGCAAATCTAGGTCAATTTTTGTGAAATTGAGTTTGGGTAACTTTAAATTAAATCAGGAAAAACAGGTAGAAGATCAGGGAAATATCAGGGAAAAGTCAGGGATATCCAGCTTCAAATATTGGCAGACTGAAATAACATCTTCATCATAATTTCATTCATATAATGAAAGACATTTTAGGTTTGACCAAGTTTTTGATTCCCTTTGTTCACTGCACAGCTTACACGATTATTCCATTCCAAATCATCTCAAATAAGAACTCCTAAATTTTTTTTCCAAAATTGTATTCACTAATTTTTCGCCCTCAATAATAAATTTGAAATGTTGTTGACTATTACCAACTATCATTATTTTGCATTTTTGTTTATTGAATTTTATTAATCACTTGTTTGACCATTCTACTAACGAATTAATATCTTGTTGTAGTTCAATTGAATCCTTTACATATTTGATAGCTTGTAAGAGTTTCGTGTTGTTGGTAAACATTTAACAAATTGATTTTTTTAATATCGTTTGATTTTTTTAATATTTTTAATAAATGCAACAAATAAAAGAGGACCTATAACTGAACCTTGTTGTACTCCGCTTACAACCTCCCATTCTGGTTCAAAACTACCTAATACCACTCTCTGTGATCTGTTTTTTAAGAAGCCTCTACACCAATATAATACTTTAGATTCAAATCCAAGGCTTTTTAATTTAAATAATAATTTCTCATGGTCTACCGAGTCGAATAGTTTAGTGAAGTCCAGAAATAGGATCATCAATGCCCATCCTTCATTAACCGAGCTTGTAATATAATTGAATGTTTCCAACAAATTCGAAACAATTTTTATTGTTTACAAAACCATGTTGGTTTACCACGTTAATTAAAATATTATCAGTTAGATATTTCATCATCTTATCCTTAACAATCCTCTCTATTGTTTTACACACAATAGATGTTAATGAAACCGGTCTATAGTTAGTTGGATCAAGTTTATTACCTTTTTTAAACAATGGAGTAATATTTGTTGCATGACCAAAACTTAGGTAATGTTCCTGATTGAAATGATATGTTAAATATGATCGATAATGGTTCAGACAATACGTTTGAATATTCCCTACAGCTTTATTTGTGTCTAATTTATTTAGGTAGGTTTCAGTTAAGAACTGTCACTTTTAGTAAAAACTGAAGCAAAAAATTCATTCAGAGTACCCGCTATTTCTTCACCATTGTCGCAATTTTACCATCTTTTAACTGAATAGTTCGAATTGTGTTTTTTATTTTAACCTTATTATTAATATACCCGTATACACGTTTAGGATTTGACTTTGAATTAACAGCAAGATCATGTTCAAATTATTTAATTCTTTGTTTTACTTTTTTTTTAAGATTCTGGTTTAACTCCTTATAATACTCAACCATCTGATTGTCACTAAATCTGATTGTCAACCATCTTGTCACTAAACTTTAATTTTTTACATTCAAACCACAGTTTCCTTTTTTCTTTAGTAAGTATTTTTATTTTCCAAAATTCATCCAAAATTCATCCAAATTACTCCATTATTCCTCTGATTATTTGATAATTTAGTAACTGGAATGAATTTTTTACAACTTTCATGATACATAGAGAGCCAATTTTTATAACACGAGTTCACATTCATATTCTGCAATTATCTACTCTAGTTTATAGATGTAAAATATTGGCTCATTTCATAGTAATTACCTTAGTTATAATTTATCTTTTCACATAAAAACTTACTTCTATAGAATTTACAAAGCTATATTCAAATTTAATATTACGGTGCCCATGACTAATACCTCATACTGGTGGGAGATGAATTAATCTAAAAATACGATTTTTACATTCAATGAGAATTAGATCTAATACGTTAGTCATTACTCCTACGTTAATTTGAAATGTAGGTTCTATCACGTTTTGGTGTAAAAAACAATCATTTAAACACTCTAGGAATATTTTAGTACATCAGACACATTCAATAACATTGCATAATATTCTTCAGATCATTTGATCGTATGGAAAGTATGGATAATAAAGTCCCCACATTAATAATCTGTTGAATTTTTTATTTAGAATAAGCGTATCTTATTGATTTAATTATATCATTACAATTATTCATATCGCTTACTCCCATTCTATATACACATCCACATAATAATTTTTCTAAACCCAATTCAACTATACACCAATTTTGTTCTACATTTGGGTTGTTTAAACATTTCTCAGAAACATCATAGGCATTTGATTTCTTCTTTTATATACATACAAACTCGGCCACCCCTACCAATGCTTCTATCCATTCTAAATAGTATCCTCTTATATCTGTAACTGAAGAATTTATCCACCATGTCTCGGTTACCATTATAATATCAGATTTGCTTGAATTTATTTCCTTGATTAAATCATCTAATTTATTGTTCAACGATGTTGCATTTGTGTATAAGCACGTTATCTTACTAAGTTTATCACTTGAATTCAACATTGTCTTAACACCCTTTTTTTTTTCTGAAATGAGCTCCCCCATCAAACGCGACAAACTCATTATTTAACTTGTACTCGTTGTTGTTGCTTGTACTTATCTTTCTTTAGTTCTTCTTGATTTCGATTTTTCTAACAGGTTGTTTCTGATAACGAATCAAAATGTTAAATTTTTTCCTTGTTCAATTTTATTAAACTTTTTTCTTTCCTCAAGTAGAAATATAATAATAGCTTTTTCTCAATACGTCAAATCTGGATTAATGAATACTTTATTTTTGTATTCTTCTACTTTACTTTAATTTCTAGCCATGTTTAAAACTTGTTTTTGATACAATGAATCAACTAGTTCAATAACTAGTGGTCCTGGCTTATCTTTGTCTTTGCTGTTTAATCTGAAATGTTTGACAATATTTAATTTTTCCAACCCAATAGCATCAAAAACTTCACCAATACTTTCATCATCATCTTTCTTAATATGTTCATTGCTTTTTTGTTGTGATTCCTTTAACCCAAGAACTAATACGTTTTTTTCTTTTTTGACTTTCTTCATTTGCTCAACTGAAATTGCATTAATTACACAAATTTTTGATTCACTGATGGGTTGTGCTCCTTCACTTGTTTTCTTAATTACACAAGTTTTTGATTCACTGATGGGTGGTGCTTTTTCACTTGTTTTCTTAATTACACGAGTTTCTGATTCACTGATGGAAGGTGCTCCTTCACTAGTTTTCTTAATTACCAAGTTTCTGATTCACTGATGAGTGGTGCTCCTTCACTTGTTTTCTTTATTAGACTACTAAATAGTGGTTTATTGTTCTTTAGATTATTTTGCTCAGATTCTTTTAATTTGTTTTTTAAATCAATAATTTCTGAGTTCAACTTTTTATTCTCTTTTTCTACTTGCTCAATGCGATTAATATATTCCATTACTTACTTCATCTATTGTCTCTTATATTGCATTTTGTGTATCTTTTGATACAACCATTCTTGTAAACACAAAAGTTTGTATTTTTTTTATTGTATTGTATACATTCTCAAATAAATTTCATCACTGTTAATTATGTAAAATAATTAATCTTAAATATGCATCGTTATAAAAATGATTTGTTATTTCTCTTAGCATTTAATTGTAGTAGAAAAGCAAAAAAGTAACCCAGTAGAGTATACTAGTACCAGTAACGGATAAATCTGCTCCAAAGTGCAAAAAACAAGTAACTCTGAAACAAAAATTTTTACTAAGCTCCAAAAACACGTCTGATCAATAAAATATCATTTAATAAAGCTTTTGAAATTTTAATAAATTTATTGAAGCAAAAGTTGTTCTGGTATGCTAGTAACAATCAACTTATGCTAATAGCAATCAACTTTGAGCGACTAATAATAATTTTATTGTTTTCTTTTTATTTTAATGGTTTTTTCCAAGTTTTTTTATTATATTATGCTATATGCATATTTATTTTTATATATTTTATATTTATATGTTTTTCTTAGTGCTATAAGCAAAAAAGTTTCCTCTGCTAAAAAAAATAATTCTCATTATGCTTTAATTTGGTACCAACTCCATACTTTTGGTTAATTCCTAATAAAAATATAAGTCCTACTTTTATATTCCTAAAAACATATGAGCATATGCACTTCTTGTAAAAGCTGCTGGTCATATTAAAAAAGTTTCATGTGTGTGTTATTGAAGCAAAAGTTGTTCTGGTATGCTAGTAGCAATCAACTTATGCTAATAGCAATCAACTTTGAGCAACTGTTAAATATAATTGGATAAACTTTCAACCAAGATTAGGCAATATTATATATAAATTAAATTGAATTTCATTACGGAGGTTGTTGAGTCTTCATTAGTTATTTTCCGTGTTCACAATTCGAATGGAAGTAAGACAATATTTGACTCTGAGAGCAATTTGAGTTTGTTTTTTTTGTAGGTTGTTGTAAGATGAGTATCAAGTAAAGTTAGGTCAAAATTAGGTAATGCTTGATGGACCATTTGCTGAGAATAAAATGCAGATAATACTTAATGGACCACTTTCTTAGATTAAAATGTAGGTAATGCTTGATGGACCACTTACTGAAATGTAGGTATCATTTGATACACAGTTTTTTGGAAAAAATTTATAATTCCATTAATTGTTAATGAAATCTTGTAAAAAATTTAGTATATTACTTTTTTAGGCCAAAGAATCTAATTCCAAGATTAAATTTTACACTCAGTGTGTGCACTCTGACCCAGGGAGTAGGGCAATAGTGGGTGAGGGGGAGGAACATCAAGAGTCATGCCCTTACTATTTTTAATCAGGTATGAATTAAAAAATAAATTTTTAAAATTAATTTGTCTTCCCTTTCTGTCTGCCCCATATAACAAATAGCTCCTGCTTGTGACTAGCAAGCTAATAATTGGCTAGGTTGCTTTAGGTTCAACTAATATGATTCTGGGATGTGGTATAACTAATATATGGGTATTGCTGACTAATATAATTTTTGGAAAAATATATTATATCCTATTCAAAATGAAATATATTTGAGTTTATAATAGATTGATATTAAACACAAATATACACAGATATAATTCTTATTGATTTTGTATGGCCACAGAAAGCATTCTTGAATGATCATTTTTTTCTCACTAAAAACGTTGTTCAAATCTACTTTACATCCTCTTGTGGTGTGTCCAAGCTTTCCACATGTTCTACATTGCAAAAGTCTTTTTTACTGGCAATCATTGTCAGGTGTATTTATTTTCAATGACATCTGTCTTGCCTTACAATATGATACTGATTTACAAGTCCTAATGCATTTATTCCAACTTTTGTCTGACTGCTCAGAGTACTTGGCAATAGGTGGTCCACCTGTAATCAGAAGCAGTTCATAGACATGTGTGCACATTTGGTGCAAGCTAGGGCTAAGCATTGCTTATGGTTCCCAGGCATGTGCAACCATGGAAATGTGTTTATGGAATATCATTAATCCATAACTGATTTCTTTAACTTTATCAGGATCAGCTTTTTTGCTACAGAACAGATCGACTCTCTTTCTTTTTGACTCAAAAAACGATCTGCTATTGGTCCATTGTTAGTGTTACCACCATTAGAAGTAGAAGAAATAAGAAGCTTGTTTTTCAGCATCTTTGTAGAAGATTTCACCATTTTCTAGTTTTCTCCAAGTACTGAGCACATCATTATAGTTTTTATCTGTGGTGAACCCATGTAGTATACATACCAGGTCATTGGCATCACTTCTGGAAAAATTGCAATAGTGACAAAAAGCTCTAAAATAACCTACCAGTAAATCTACCATTTTGCCATCAACCATACTTATCTCAATGGTTTTCAAATATTTATAAACCATTTTCTGAAAGAATAGACTGAGTTTCAACTTAGGCAGTTGACTCAAAGTTGGTTTAAAATACTCCTTTACACTCTCCCTAGGTTTTTTTGTTTTTACATGAGTAACAGGCCTGGCAAAATTAATGGAGTTAGTGATGGGTTTAATCCAGCTTATTAGGTTTTTGAATCTTTAATTTCAAAGGGACACCAAAAGGGGTAAATAAAATTTGTTCCCTTTAAGTCTGCATCTTGAGGATCAGAAAACTTATAGCAATGTTTGTGATTTCCAGAACCATTAAGTCTAAATTTACCCTCTTCATCTAGAATGATTTTTAGCACAAAATCCGGATATATCAAGCAGAGACTCAACAGTGTCTTTAATTACACTGTTCACAGGGGATGAAGTTTGCTTGTCATCACTGATCAATTCCTTGGGTAAGAAAGTATGTTTAAAGACATCGACATCATTTCTTGTTGGCAACATTAGTTTTGGGAGAAGATCAAGTCTCAGCTGTTCATTTGCATGTTTTTCCATGATGTCCATAAAATCATCCAGAATTTTGTTGAAGGTATGTTTTTCAGGTTGATCACTGAATTAAATGGTGTTGCGAAAAGTTAAAATAGCTACAGGGTGTCCCAAATTCAAATAAATGTCAACAGCTCAATTTTACCTTCGTCTTTTTGATTTCTGTCTTTATTTAGCTTGTGGAGCCCCCTCTTCTTCTATATCTGACAAAGATAAATTTATATATATATGGATGATGATGATGCTACTGCAGGTAGATTCCCAGGCAGTTTTATCCCAACTTGGTTTCTCCAAGTTTCCAATTCCAATTTTATTTTGTTTCAGTTTTGAATATTTTTTTACATGTCTTTCAATTTGCTTTAAAAATTTCTTGATGTTATCTTTTTCATCTTCTAAGATTATATCTCACTTTGATGGTTGTTTAAAATTAGCTTTGATTTTTCCGATGAATTTAATTTTATATTCAAAGTTAGTAAAATTCCTTCTAATTTTCCTTTTTTTTTATCAATAAAAATTTGTCACAAGTTATAAATTGGTATTCATGAGTTGTCCGTAAAAGATGATTTTTATAATTATGCTACCTCGTTTTCTAATTATACAACATACAAACAATTTAAATTCAAACTTAAATTAGTCATTTTCTAGAGATAACCGGAAAATGAGTAATTTAAGATTAAAATTTTGAGATAAAAATAAAAAGTCTATATTGTATGAAACAATTGAGTTTATTTGTATATCTTCCTGCGGCCTTTCCCATCATTTTGTTTTTATTCAAATAAGTATATTTTCATATATTTTTTATAATTTTTTAGGTCCAATCAAAACTACACAAAATGAACATTTAAATTAAAATTTTTCTTTTTTCTTTAAGTTATTTACAATTTAAATATTATTTCCAGATCAGGATTGAAAAATAATTTTGAATTTATTGAGTAGTTTTTGATGTATAGCACTTCAAAGTTACTGTTAAAAAACACTATTAGTACAATTTTAAGTTTTATTTTAGATTTATAGATTTATAAATTAAAGATTTATAAATATAAATATTTCACTTTTTTTTTTAACTTTAAACAGCTATAAAGATAAAATAATTTGAATTTCAAAAAAAAAAAAAATTTTGCGCTGACCTTCATTGACACTACACTGTTCTACATAATATAAATTTACTATTTAAAATTAAGAAATAAAAAGTCAAAAAAATAAATTTTTTCATGTCTGCTTATTAAGATTAAAATGTAGGTAATGGTTTGTGGACATTTACGAAGATTAAAATGTGGCTAATAAATGCTTGATGGACCATATACTAAGACTAAAATTTGTTTTTAATCTATACCATTACAAAAAAAAATTTTTAAAAGTGAAAAGTGAATTTTAGATGTTGAATTGCGTAAAGTTGTAATTGCAGCAATCAGTGATTTCAATGATTTTACATGCGTAAAGTTTGTTCCTCATGACAACCAGAACGATTACTTGTCATTTGTTGCTAAGGAAGGGTAAACATATTTTTACTTTTTTTTTTTTTTTTTTTTTTTTTTTTTGCATGTTATTATATTATTGTACCTATACTATTTGTTGAACAAATA